TATAAAACTAGACGCCGCCGCATTCCGAGAAAAATCAATAACTCATTGAAGAAAAATCGCATTGAGTCGTACAACGTCTCATTTTGACGAGAAAAGTCTGCTCTATTTTTCTGAATCATCGAAAATGACTTTTGACTAACTTTAAAAAAGTTGAAAATTTAATGCTTTTAAATTTGTAAAATTTCATCTTATTAAACTTGCTAAAGTTAAATGAAAATTTTTCTTCTTACATGCTTGGATACTCTAAGGTGTTCCCTACATAAATCCGTTCTCGGATTTATTCTAGCTACTTTAGTTCACGGGAAAATTCAAAAATAAAAAGTGTCTTAAACTTTTGCGGTCCACTTTAACTGGTAGGTTAAAATGTCAAAGTGATGTAGTTTTGAAAGTATCTTATCTAGATTAAATTCAATATTTAATGTCAAAGATGTTAAGTGTATCCATCGAGCACAGCAGTAAACATCAATTCCACATTATTCAAAAATTTAGTGGGTATGCCTGTCATCCAAACTGCTTAAAATTATCTACGAATGTAAAAAAAGATTGTTATGCACACTAGAGAGCAGGTGCGCGGATCGATTTGTTTAATATTCTATCTCGAACCAAACGAAGGTTAGCTTCTCTTCGTATCACTCGACATTAAGAACTAATTTTAGCCTAGTTAAGATACGTCATTCTGCTATTCTAACGCCCTAGGAGTAACAAGAAAAAGATAGTTTACCGACAGTTAGTGTGAACGCAATCTGAGCCATTTTCCCGATTGCACTAGGGAGTTTACTTTAATTCTTGAAACGTTGTTTGTAGTTAGGCATGCACCAAAATCAAAACTGGTTTTGAAGTTTTGGTTTTGATAGTTTTGGTTCTGATGGTTTTGGTTTTGGTTGTGAAATATCAGGTTGGCAACAAAGTTCTTGCGTTTTTTACTAAAGATGGAGTAAAGAAAAAACGGAAAAACTTTGTTGCCAACCTACTATAATCTTTTTCGACGTATCTCAAAACTACGTCAAAACCTATGCCAAAACCAAAACTTCCAAAACCACAACCATATCAAAACCTCAAAACCAGAACCCTATGTCAAAACCAAAACCATTAAAACCAAGAGTTTTGGTTTTGGTGCATGCCTATTTGTAGTTGTGAGTGTGAGCTTAGATAGCATATATACGAATAACATCTTTCAGGGTAACCAAATGTACAATCATTCGGGCAATTCCCGTGCAACTTGGTTGGAAGTTAAAAATGATACCGATCAGCAGATTCAAATCAAAATATCTGAAGTTGACAATAGTGACTGGGATGGAGATTCTCGGCCAGATCATAATTTTCAGAATGCCATAATTGAAGCACATCAATCGAAGAAAGAACGTCAAGAACTCAATGCACACAATCAAACTGCAGAGTTTACAATGACAGTTTCACAAGGTGGTAACGAACAATTTGCTATACGAATTAATCAGTGGGATGCACGCATTGACTCGCTGAGTCCTATCCATGAAAAAGATGCAGACTGTTCAAACAACTTTCACGTACATATAATAGGTGGTTTAGGTGGTGGTGACACTTTGTTTGTTACAATTACCAAGAAATGAGAGAAGTTCGCTTCTAATAGATATTCCAGAAATGTGTACTTTTATACAAGAATAAATAAACTAATCTAAAGTTCCACTGCACATCTTTTTGTTTAAGAGGAGTTATCCTAACAAGAAGAACGTCACTTTTAGACAGAATGTTATTTCTGGTCACCGAAATCAGCACTCGGAATTAAAGTCATTTCAACCCTAGATCTCTGTCAAGCATAAGTAGAAGTAAATTTTGAAAAATTGAAGGAACTTTTGCCTGTCATGTGAAAAAGCTACTACATTTATTGCACTCAAACAAAAGATCTTTAATCGATACATTAATGTCTCTTGCTTATCTTGTCGATGAGTCAGTTTGTCGAGAAAAAAAGGAAAGAAAAACAAAAACAATGTTTCAAAATCAGACTCATCATGCTCGTTGTCAAGCTTATTATCCGATTGTGACTGAATTTTTCTTCATCCATTTCTTTAACTTATCTTATTCTCGCTTTTCTTGTGTGATTTATTTTCTTTCTTATTCTCGTGTCGCATGCCATCATATTATCTATTATTCTTTTCTATCCCAGCACCTTATACAAAACAAAAAACAAAAAATTGATCTAATCATATTTAAACATGCTGTTTTTTTTTATTAGTGCTACGTAAACAAAGGCCAATTCACCTATGAGGTGCTGACAGCCGGTAAATACAAAAAAAGTTCTATATATTAATATATCCGTTTCTACACGATAGACAAACAGGAACAAGAAATAGAAGAACATGGTACATGTATTTGTGTGCGGTGATGAGTGTATGTTATATGATACGTGTTCAAGAGATATAGTAGTAGAAGAAAGAAAGAGAAAGAGAGATAGAGAAAGAGAGATAGAGATAGAAGAACGTTTATTTATCGTTCAAGACAAAGTTACATAACATATCAAAATAGGTCATGTTGTTGTTATATGTAAAGGATGTGATTCTTTTATTCGATCTACCAACTGGAAGTCCAACTATATGCGATTTTCCCATGTAATGATGGTATACATTATTTATAATGTTTTTATTCGACATCGCACAAACTACAAATTCTTGTTCGAAAAAACGTATATATTTTTTAATCGTCTTCGTAGACAAATTCTATATTTTTCTGTTAATGTTGGGAGTTTTAATGCTTCGTAAAAATCTTTGGTCGACACACGGTGAATGCAAAATATTAATCTAAGGCATCGTCTGTAGAATGAGTTCGTTTTGTTTTGATTAGAAGTTGAGAGAATACAGAAAATAGTACTTAGAGTATATAGATGGGGCCATGTGTAAGTTTGGAAGAAACGCATCTTCAGTGTGAAAAATGTTGGAAAAGCACGGTGAATATGTCTCAGGATGGAAGATGATTTTCTTAACTTGACCATTTGAGTATCGAGCATGTTTCTAAATGACAATTTGGAGTCTAGATAGAAACCTAAGTATTTGAATGTATTTTGTTGTTTAATCAATTGTCCTTGGTATATAATTTTAATTTTTGGAACCTGTACTAACTTGTAATAAATTACAAATTCAGTTTTACTTCTATTGACAGGTTGATAATTGTCATCGGCATATTTCTTAAAATTCAACATATCCTTGTTTATCCTTGTTTGGATTTCTTCAATCTGTTTTCCATATTTCAGATATATTGATGGTGAATAAAATATAGCCAAGTCGTCGACGTAAAGATGCACTTCATTTGGACACGAGAAAATTGATGATAAGTCAAAATGATGAACAATGTAAGCTTTAGGTCCAAAGTAAGAACCTTGTGGAGCTCCTCTTGCGACTTGGATTTGTTTTGATAAGTGTCCTTGATACTCGACGCTGATAGATCTATCTTTGAAGTAATTCGTGATCCAGAATAAGTAAGAAAAATGGCAGCGAAGTTGATGCAGTTTCAAGATCAGCCCTTGATGCCATAGAAAATCAAAAGCTTGAAGGAAATCCACATATAACTTTTGATAGAAACAAGATAGAGAGCCGCGGTTTTCACCGTTGGAAAGCGGAGATGAAGACAAATCGAAACGTATATTAAAGAGTTTTTAAATATGTTTTCTGAGGCTTTTCAAATCAATTATCTGAAAAAGGTAGTGGGAAAATAGTTTTTATCAAAATAAAAAAAGAAATATAGTACTTGTTTTTCACAGGAGTTGCTAGAAAAATCGGCTTATAATTTCTAGTAGAATATTTCTAACTCCTGAACGATTGAAGTTAAGAATCTGAGCCTTGCACAGTTTTATAGATCCTCAATTGGCGGCTTCATTGCACATCAGATAATTGAAAATTCACTGTAGTCACCTATCAAGAACGTTGTTTTTCAAAGAGCTGAATTGAAAACCTTAGAAAAATCAGGTCAAATAGTCTGTAACATATGATATATGATTCTGCATGATGAAACAGAATTCCAGCATTTTTTTGTGAGATATGAATGATTTTTAGGACTTTAATATCTCGAGAAGGAAACATTCTTTTGAGTTGAAGTTTTCAGGACATCCTAGCCACAAATAGATCTATCTGTGAGCAAAGTCTCAGGTCAAAGTACCGATATTTGATTTATTGGTATGCACTATGGCAGAGGCTAAAATTTCAGTAAACTACCTATAACTCTGGATAGAAGGCGTAACAGCACTTATCTTTTTCGGATTTTTCATATATCCCTGGGGTCTACCTAATGCACGGAGTCCGAACCTTAAAACTATTTGCCCGTTGGGGATCATTCCTCGTCAGTTCAGCTAAAAACAAATGCCTCGAATAATACAAACCTAACCATCATTCAATTCATGCTACAGCCTAAGTTCAATATCTTTTCGGCAGAATCCTCTTAAAATATTTGCAAAGAATATTTTTCTAACAAGCAGCACATAACGATATAGCTCTAATATATCCTACTTTCCGAGCAACATTTTCGATTTAATCGTACACTTTCACATTCAGTGGCTTTTCTATCATCACCGAATCATTTTAAATAGATACAAAGTCACAGCTATCTGACGAGACCCTTTAACAAGGTCGAAACGCGTCATGGTTTGCCAAGACACACATTCTCATTTTCTTTCGCTTTAACTACTTTCAGCGTGTTAGTTTTGCATAACATATTATATAAAACTGTATGATTGCGATTACTTATTAGTGGATTTGACATCCAAACTATTTGTTTTTCTAATGATTTCAATTTTGAAAAAAAAGATCAATTTTTTGGACATATAAATCTCCATTTTGATCTTGCTAACACGTCAATTCCAAAATTTGATTATTCACTATAATGATGTCACAGTTGTTCATCGACAATTATGACTGTATTATTTATTGGTTTTAGATACGACTGGTAAACACAAATGTTATATCATATTTATATTCTAACGTTTGTAAGACCCATTTTTCAATGTTAAAAGTACTATTAGTTCGATTGATAGAAAGTGTATGAATTTTTTTGTCAAATATTGCTTGTTTATGCTTCTGATATCGATTGAATACTAATTCGTTTGAATACAATACATGATCGTTAACGGATAAAATATATGCCAAATCTTTGAATAAACTAAGCATTATGAAATCACCGATTAGAAGCACATGCTACGTTTCGAACAATTTTCGCACCTTCTCGGTTGACAATGAACAAAACTCATCTAGTCGCTTCGTCATCATCCAATTGAAGTGGTACGTGACCAAGTTTAATGACAGACGGGTATGTCAATAATAAAAATTGACTTGATCCTAGAAAGGGTAGGGTTCACCCGAGTATAAGGTAATCTTTGTAACTTTTTAAGGTGACGCACAATGAGCTACGATATCATGAACGGTGAGAAAAGTTTTTTAATGATTCCGAAATCAAAGGGGAAAGGTGATAGTATTTATTACATCATGAAAATGAAAACGTATGAGCTTTCGAACCGTTTCCAGGCCGTCATGAGGCTAACATATAACCGTATAAGAGGAACAGAAGATACGAAGCGCAAACATTCTTTCTTTCTTTGTTGTTTTATCTTTTTTTCACACTGATGTATCATAAACTTAACGCATAGTATCTCTTACCTACATGACAGTGGACGGACAGAGAAACATAAAGAAGAAAAAAGCACAGGAAGAAAGAAAGAATGCGTCAATTACACATAGATTTTGGTCGCTTTTGTACAAGTCTATTAGTGTCTTATCGAGCTTTGAAAACGAGCCGTAAGCTCACTCATTCTTATTTATACTACCGATCTGGTCGACAAAAAACGAACACTGACTAGCTTTTGCTGGAAGTTTGCTGCTTCATTTCTGTTTTTTTTCCTTTTTCTTTCCCTTTTTTCTCTTTTTTGCTTTTCATACACTGCAATAATACGGTCGTAACGAATAGTAGGAAGAAAAGAAAAATAGAGAGAAAAAAAGTGGGTCCGTTACATATATGTTCCACTCTTTTTTGTACTCATCTGTAGCGCGTAGTTCAGACTAAATGACGGTATCAGTATGTCGAAGATAACTTGATGTCGTCTTATATATAAGGTTAGTTTTTTCTACAAAAAGAACCGTCGTCAAGAGGGTCTTATCGAAGCCTTGAGAATGAGTCGCAAGCTCTCACGTCCCTGTCTAAACCGTTGGTCTGGTCGATAGAAAACGAACACCGAAGTGGATTGGGAAGTATGTTGCTTCATTATTGGATCTTGTCTTTTTTCCTCTCCTCTTTTTTTTCTGTTCTTTTTCTTCTCAGACACTGCTGTGTCATCGCATAGAATGTCGCATCTACACGATAGTGTACGAACAGAAAAACATAAGAAAGAAAAAATCACAGGATGAAAAAGAGAAAGAGATGAAGTGATTGCCATTTAATAAAACGTGCCCGATTAGAGAGCTATGAGACTCGAATTTTATTCTCATAACAGGTAGAGAAATGTTGTAAATGATTCCTTTTTTACGCATCTGATTTTGAAATGTATTGAAGAGCGAGAAGACCAGCGAATGAGGAAATAAAAACTAGAATTCTTAGAAATAGCAGACAAATGGGTTTCATCAAATGTGCATCCTCATCGACGGTGATACACAAGTCGCTGTTTCTATTAATGACACTTGTTTTAGGACTGAAATCCTATTGAGATTGATTTATAAAGAACGTGACAGATTTTTTTTGTGATTAATCAAAAAATAGAGAGAGGCAAAAGAAGAAATCAGCAAAACAATAAAAATGAAAAGGGAAACAAATCTATCGAACGCAAGGAAAAAACCGTTTCTCATGTATTTTTATCTTGCGTTTTGCTTCAGACTATGAACAAGAACTTGGGTTCTTGACTATCGAGCAGTCTGCTACTGATGTTCTTAACATCGCATTTTAACGTGTTTTAACAGCAAAGAAGCATTTTAGATATTGAATCAAGAGAGGCAAAATTACAACATTGTCTTTCAAATCATTTATTCTCTTGGCTCACCCAAATAAAATGCTCTTCTTCTCAGAAAATTTGAAAAAAAAACTTTTTATGATTATTTTGGGTATGAGGTGATTCAGAAATTTTGTTTTGATTTTTTTGTAAATGCAAAGCTTTGACATGAGAAAGTCATCAGAAACTATTAGGATAAAGGTAAACACTTCGAAGAACAACAGCAAAGTAATGCTTCCCTTGGAAAAATATGCTTGTGGTTATCATGAGAATTTCTCACAACAAGGACACCATCTCCTAGGTTACGAAGCACGACACAAGTAGACTTGGGTTCTACGGGCGTTAGTACACTGAAAATCTGTTATTAATTTTTGTCAGGCCGTGTCGTCCGTGTTCAGCATTAGGTGGAGCTAGCTTCAGGTGCTTATCTCTCTCACATCGAGAGTGAACACTACTAATTTAAATATCTTTGGGTAAGTTATCACTTTTCTTTTTTTTAATTTTCTTTTGTTTATTTGTTCGATTTCGATTTCCTTATTTAATATTTGTATATTTAATGTTTTTTTTATAGATTTGAACGTGCATTTAATACGCAAATGATTCTGTGACTAACGAGGGCACCATCTTAGGTGTTCAAGCCGTTTAGACTCCACCGTTTAGCCATAAATAGACGTCAATGAGGTATGAAAAAGCTGGAAAGGATTCGATCCCTTAGGCCTTCGTTCGCGAGATATCGAATTCTTAAGCAACTTCGCTCATAACACCCAAGATTTTCAGCAAAATCGTACTGTCGAGTTTTGGTCTGAGAGTTTGCCCACGCCAGGGCCTCGAGTGGACTAGGCTGTGTACAAAGTTTCAGAATTTTTAGCGTAATGTTTACGAGATATGCTTTTTTTTACGTATGAGCGCTGTTTTTCAACCATTGTACAAAACATGGGCATTTTTAAATATCAATACCTCGTAAGCAAAGGCCAGAAGACTCGAATCCTTTTCAACTTTTCATACCTCATCAAAGTCTACTGATAGCTAAAAGATAGAGTCTAAACGGCTTGAACACCTCGGGAGATTCTCTCGTAAGTGCGTCTGATTTCTTCGACAAGATCACATGAACATAATTTTTTCCTTATGTATATCTTGCATCTTCAATACTGAACATGGCAACCACCCATCATAATCAAATGATGAAGCAATGGCAATTCACCAAATCCGGAATTCCACGAGATGTGTTAACGATGGTTGAAGTACCCATCCCCACCACATGCGCAGACGACGAAGTGCTTGTACAAATCAGTCATGTCTCACTGAATTCGGCAATAGCGTATCGGCTCATTGCATATTATGGCGTCCTTGATCCTGTGGGCGCACTCATAAGTAGACCTTGTGTGCCCGAAATAGACTTTAGTGGAATCGTCTGTGATTTACGAGGCACAAAGGTAAAAGACTTTAATACCGGTAATATTAATCAATTGCGTCTTACTCTTTGATTGTTTCACTATTTCGTTATTTCTTGTAAGGTGATCGAGTGTTTGGAATTGGCCCTATAGGATTTCGGAATGTTGGACACGGGGTGCTACGTGAGTATATTCTCGCCAAGCACGATCATATGACCAAAGTACCTGATAATATCTCGCTAAAGGATGCCGCATGCTTTCCGGCCACAGGTAGTACCCATCATTACTCATTTTGTTTAATATTTTCTTGTGCTCCTTGAATTTTTAGGTTACACAGCATATTGCTTTTTAGTTGAAAAAGCCAAATTGAAGAAGGGAGACAGGGTGTTCATCAATGGTGGATCGGGAGCCGTGGGTGTAATGGCAATTCAACTAGCACGCACAATTGTCGGATCCACGGGCCTGGTAGTGGCAACATGTTCTCCAGCAAAGACCGATATTATTCGAAATCTGGGCGCAGATGAGGTACTTTTTTTCTTTTGAATTTTTGTTTCTAAAAATAAACACATTTATCCTTTTCCAAGATCATAGATTACACGTCATATTTCCTGCCGGATTTTCTTCAGGAGCATTATAGTTCACGTCCGTTTGATGTCATTCTGGATACTGTAGGGAATGATCACGCACTCTACTCCAACTCGCCCGCTTACTTGACTCCTGCAGGTTTGTTCTGTACTATTGGCATGGTTGAAATTGGTAAGTTATCATTAATTATAAATCGTATTCTATTTGTTGATTGACTGACCCGTTTTAATTTCTCTTTCAGGCTCCACGGTATGGTCGGCCACCAAGAGACTCCTACAACTGTTGAGCGCGATGATTGTGCCTGTATATCTTGGAGGCGTACCTCGCAGACACATATTCGAGCCCCTCAACATAGTTCATTCGCGATTCGTTGCTATGGCACAGTTAGTTGAAGAAGGAGCCTTCAAAGCTGTAATTGACTCTACGTACAAATTCACGGATGCGCTCGATGCCTATGATAGAGTGATGTCTCGTAAAGTAACGGGGAAAGTGGTTATTGAGGTCAATGACCTCGAGTGAGTAATATAATTTTACTAAATAAAATGCAATCCTTATTTTTCACGATGGCACAAAGTTTTTTTAATTATATATTCTTCGTAACGAAGACATTACATTATAGTATTGCGATGTGAACGCGATTCTATCTAGAAGACGAGAAATTTATTATTGTGGCTAAATCGGTACGAGCTGAGACTTCTTCATCTCCGAAAGGTCTTCATATCTTATGATATTTTCTATAGTAATTTAATTCGATCAAATTCTTGCGCGTTATGTATTTCTGAAAAAAGCGTTGAGTTTGATGTCAGCATCAATTGATGTCACTTCTTGACGTTAACCTATCCATGTATTATCACTTTTGTTTCTTTTATCCTCTTTGATATTCTTCCTCTCTCAGTCTTCTCCATCATCTTTGTCGATCCCTCTTTGTTACTTATCATAGTCATATGTTTTATTTTCTTACAAGAATAAATCAGTTCATTAGCATTTCATCTTGTGGTTCTCATCCCTGTAATGCGACGATCTTATACGGTAAGATATTTACATGTGCAGACTCGCTTCATTCGGCAGACATCGTTTCTTTACATCATTTCATGTAGCCTACATGATATATGTGAGATACAGTCTTTCGAACAACAAACGGTCTCTCGTATTTATCAGATAAATTCACTTGCTGCAATCTTTGTTTTTGCAACAGAAAACCTTCAGATCAATCCTAGATCAATGAACTGCGAAAAATTCGAAGTGAATTTATAAAAAATGACTGATTTTTGTCAATCATTGTAGGCAATAGCTTGACAAACTGATGAAGATTTCATTTCCATTAGTTTTCTTTCGTCCACTGAAATTTCGAACCAAATTTTAGATAAACCTGATCAATCTGTTCAAAACTTAGTGAACTATTGTCAGGAGAAATACGCTAATCTTGAGGGTGAGGGTGAGGGTGTGATTATCGTTTCTTAACTTACAACATCAGAGTGACCAATATATCCACATCCTACCCTCAGTCACCCACTCCCTCTCGTTTGTGTTCGCGCAATCTCACATTTATCTGCATTAGGACGGAAACGAGTATTTTTTAATATTTGACAAATTTCGTTAAGATGAGATACTTAGGGTATACCAAAAGTTCTGATCACGATGTTACTGAGACGTATAATAAGCTTTGAAAAATTTTCTTTCTATATAGTCTGATCGAGAAAAGAATGCTCCATCTTTCTATGCTATTTAATTATACTTCAACTAATATAATGATAATAAATTAGAAGATAAGATTTTTTTCGTTATGATTTGTGTTCATAGTACTAGATCACAACGGATGAGGTAGGTTAGTTTTCAATCCTTCAAAGCATTATATTAAGAACCAAAATATACCATAAGGTGCAGTATGAAAATCTCTATAATTTATATAAGACTACTTATTTTATAGTTGCACTTTTTGTTTCCAAAATGGACAAAATTTTGACAGACCAAAGTTTCGTCACTACAGAAACTGGTCGCACAGAGTATTCTTCTTTTTAGAAAAAAATTAATTACTTAAAAAAATGTTGTTAAATTTTTGAGGACGGGTTTACTATTATAAAATTTTCTATCCATTCTCCATTCATCACAAAAGCTTGGTTCTTGCCTAGATCGATAGAGAAATGTGTGGAGAATATTTAGGACGAGAAAATATGTAAAAATTTTTGTTCTTTTCTTTCGGTTATTGACTAATTAGTACTAATTAACGTTAATTTAACCTACTCTACTAGCTTAAAGTACCATTTGTAAAATAAGGACTCAACGAAAAATTTCAAGCAATACCTCATCTGATAGAGAATTTCACGAGCTACAAGATAGGCTACCTTAGAAGTTTTAGAATTCATTTTTGGCTGCTGAGTAGGCCTGGTTTCTTTCTTCACTAAAGAATTTATCAGGCTTTATGAGCCTATGAAGGTTTTCCACACCTTTTTTCAAGACTTGTGATTTTTTCTTCTAGTCACGTACTTCATTAATTCCAAGAAGACTTTTTTGCTATGTTTTTTGGAAACAAAGACTATGTTGAGATTTTTAATGGAATAAAAACAGACTTAAAGGTGGTCTATCTTGTAGCTCGTGAAATTCTCTATTAGATGAGGTAATGCTTGAAATTTTCGTTGAGTCCTTATTTTACACATGGGACTTTAAGCTAGTAGAGTAGGTTAAATTAACGTTAATTAGTACTAATTAGTCAATAACCGGAAAAAAAGAACAAAAAGTTTTACATATTTTCTCCTCGCAAATATTCTGCACACATTTCTCCATCGATCTAGGCAAGAACTAAGTTTTCATGATGAATGGAGAATGGACAGAAAATTTTATAATAATAACCCCGTGCTCAAAAATTTAACAACATTTTTTTAAGTAATTAATTTTTTTCTCAGTTAAATAATGTAAGTAAGCTGAGAAAACTTCAGGACATATACTTTGAAGTATCCTCTACAAATTGGAAGGACTTGAAGAAAAAATTAAAACCTTGAAAATATCGCTGGTTTTTGGCTCAGCGAAGATTTTTTATCCCACCTTACGGCTAGTTTCGCATTTTGAAACAAAACTCTTGATACAAAAGTTGTTCAGAATCAAATTCTGCAGTCCCTCACGAGAGCTATTTTTAAAATTTTCTGTTTTTGGTTTTTAAATTAAATTTTACGGTTTTTAAAATCCTAAAATTTCATATTTTTCAATTTAAAACGCAAAAAAAGAAAATTTTATAAAAACCTCTCGTGAGGGACTCTGGAATTCGATTCTGAACAACTGTTGTATCAAGAGTTTTGTTTCAAAATACTTGCTTCGAGCGAAACTAGCCGTAAGGCTTTTTTCAAAATACTTTTCGCTCTAAAATTTCCTCGGGAAGGTGAAAGTTAAATTTCTCCGTCAAACTTCATTTGGGAACGATGTAAAGTTTTTCTCCTTATACAATTAATGTTCTCTATCGAACTACGCTAGAATCAACTCTTTATATCAAAAAATGAAGTTTTTATTGAAATTTCAAAAATAGGGCAAAAAACCGGAAAAAAACTTAAAATTTTTTTTACCAAAAGCTATAAATCCGGGAACTGAAAGCTTTGTTGAGACGTATACTTCGAAGTGTCCTCCACAAACTGCTGAAAAAAAACGGGTGGGGGGGACCCCCCCTTAAGATTTCGTTTTCGGAGTTTTCTATACAAAAGAAAATTTTTTCGACCTGTTTATTTTATAAGCTCTGACGAATTTTCCTATTTGATTTTATGACTAGGTGCTGTTTTACGAGCTAAAGATTTTTACTTTTTGTGTATAAAGCACCAAAGAACGGTAAAAACTTCAAAATTTCACCTAAAAAAGGCCTCTAATGACCTCATCAATAGTAGAATGGAAAAGAGAGCAACTTTTACTGATAAAGTTTATAGATGAATATTTATATTACACATTCTTAAACTGTATTCAACCAGCTAAACATATGGAAATGAAACCATTTCATGTAGGAGTTATTGGTCCAGGTGGAACAGGAAAATCATTTGTAATAGCAGAAATAGAAGATAAATTTAGAAAGTTTGTTTCAACAGAATCATCCCTTATATGCAAGCCCCACAGTGGGCAACTAAGCGGACATTAGGCCAAAAAGTCGATTTCGAGTGTTTTAAAAAATAAATAGTCCAAAATGTAGCCCTTTAAATTCTCTATCCAATGGTGTATAAATGTCTATTGTGAAAAT